TGTAAAAATGTAAGCCATAGAAGCTATAATGGATACTCTAATGGTACATAATTGTGCACTTAAATTTGAACGCTTGTGGCTCCATTTTAAGGCAGAAGCTCATGCATTTAGCCACTTCACTGATAGATATTGCTATGTTATGTTATGGGCATTATGGTGGCTCAATTGGAAGAGTTGTTGTCTCTCAGCAAGAAGGTTGCAGGTTCAAATCCTGGTCGGGGGCCTTTCTGGGTGGAGTTTGCATGTTCTCTTATTGCATGCATGCAGTTTCCTCCCACAGACCAAAAACATGCAGGTTAGGCTGATTGGTAACTCTAAATTATTCCTAGGTGTGAGTGAGAGAGTGAATGGTTGTTTGTCTCCGTGTCCCTGTGACGGACTGGAGACCTGCTTAGGTGTCCCCTGTCTCTCACACGGTGACTGCTGGACTTGAGTGCCAGTGACCCAAAAAGGAAGAAGCAGGTAAAGATAATGGATGGATGGATGTTATAATGACATTTTGAATAAAAAATATATATATATATATATATATATATTTACAATTAGTTGCATTTTTGTTTTTTGACAAGTTGTGCTCTGATTCAAGATTTTACTAAAACACACTTTTTGAGGATTTATTTTCTCACTCATTTAAGAACTAGTTGATGGGAAACATTTAGCCAGTTAAGTCTACAACAAACTTAACAAAACTACCACGAGGCTGTAGAACAAACCAAACACAACATTGTCATCTTTTCAAGTCTAAGTAAGAAAAGTATTATTTTGGAATATAAGATATTCTTCGGGATATTTTTGCACCTCTCATCCACATGCAAACTGAATTACCAGAGATACAAAAATAGATATTTTAAACACTTTCTTGAATGTATTAAACATGCTGTTTTAGTTTAAGTTAAGAACAGGAGAAGGGGCTGTAAATTACCCAAATACAGTAACCGACAGTCAGCAGAATTAGCATGTCAAACTGAAACAGAACATCAGTGGGATAATGCACACTTAAACATGTTTTATGTTTGTTAGCCAAACGATAAGGCTGTAGTACAATGTTAACATTTTCATAACAGTAACATCAACACAGGTACAATGACTATGCTGAGAACACCACCCCCACAGTAAAGCATGGAAGTGGGAGCATCGTGCTCTGGAGACACTTTCAATCAGCAGTGACTGGAGACTGATCAGCAGTGGTGGGTGCAGCAAACCAAAATGTTAGCTTTGCTAACAGCTAATTCGCTAACAAAAAAAATTGTTTGCTAATGCTAAATCACTAAACAGATTAAGAACATTAGCTGAAGCTAAGGCTAAAGCACTAACTTTTATCATACACTGTTGTCACAGACACTGTAAGACTGTCTGTGATGTGACAACGTTGTAAGTGAACGCAACTCAAAATGGTTCATTAATCACTAGTAAAGCGTCCATGTCCAGTTCAGAGGTGAGCTTTCAGAAATTAATCCGGTCCATCAGAACCAAAGAGGTGGAGCAGAACTCTGCTGTGCTAAAGCAGTGATGCATTCAATGTGTGTCGGACGTCTCCCTCCTATCATTTACTATAAATAATTAATTCACAACTTTAAATTGTCCCTATATGAGCGTGAGAGAGTGAATGGTTGTTTGTCTCATTTGTCTCTATCTGTCCCTGTGATGGACAAGAGACCTGTCCAAGGTGCCCCCCCCCCCCCCCCCTCACACACACAGTGACTGCTGGATATGGGCACCAGTGACCCCTGTGACCCGAAAAGGAAGAAGTGGATTAAGATGGATGGAATTAATTCACGTTGGCAATCCTCTTTGTGACAACAAAGTCCATGCTCAATAATCCAGGTATAAAATCCAACATTTTTCAGTCAGGTCATCTGGACAGTTTCTTTTTTTTTTGGGCTGAAACATTTCGCCTTCGATCCAGAAGGCTTCTTCAGTCAAGGAAACACAGAACAAAACTGATTCTTTTTCAACCAGTTTGACAAGACTGTCAACAAGGAAGAGGGCCAGCAATGGAGGAGGGGCGTACCAAAGAGACCATCTTATCACAAGCAGAACTGGTTTGTTCCACTTTGAAGTAATCTGTTGGAGGAAGAATCAGTTGTGTTGTGTGTTTCCTTGACTGATGAAGCCTTCCGAATCGAAGGCGAAACGTTTCAGCACAAAAAAATAAACTGTCCAGATGACCTGACTGAAAAATGTTGAATCCTCTTTGTGGTTAACTACTTTTATAAACTAACTACAAAGTTGCTGTGCGTCATCATCAATATTCGCTCAGTAATAAATCTGTTTGTTTTAAGATAAAGATATGTGAAATGTGTGAGAGAGTCACATCCCAGAGACAGTGTGTTACAAAGCATGTTGGGTAGGAATTATGTGTGCAATGTTCTTATTACGATGTTTCCAAGCGTGAAAATGGGTTTTTCATGTTAGTTTTCTGTTCAGGTTTGGTTTAGCATTTTATGTTAAAGCCTCTGTTATTGTCTGTGAACTGACACCACGAGTCAGAGACTGTTTGAGTGGTGATGTCAGCAGGTGGTGCTTAGCTCTGCATAGAATAACATAGCATAGCATTGTGTACAAATTGTCATCCTACTGTAGGCTACGCCGTTAGTGCGGAAAACTGTCTAAAAACATTATCGACTCGTATTTAAACATAGCAGAAGTTAATTCTGTTAAAAGTTTTCAAAGTTAGCAAAAATGCTATTCCTCTAAACGGAAAGTTCGTTCCACTATAAGCAGATTAGTGGAACCATGCCCACCACTGCTGGTCAGCGCTAAAGGAAAACTGGATGGAGTAAAATTCAGAGCATTTCTTGAGGGAAACTTGTTGGCATCTTCGAGAGATTTGTGACTTTTAGCTTGAACATCCTGCTGAAGCAAAACTCCACAGATTTAAGAAGAACCAGTTAAATGTCCTGGAGTGGTCCAGTTGAAGTCCAGATCTCAGTCCAGTTGAGGACCTCTAGTCTAATTTAAATATAGCTGTACAAAAAGGTAGTGGTACAAAGCGCAAACTTTGGGAAGAAGGGATGAAATGTTATCCATTCAGTTTTTTATTAATAATATTGTTATTATTATTATTATTATTTAGCTTTTGTTTTGCAAAAAGAGTTTGCATCTTAATGTGGCAGTAATGTGTAAATTGAAAGATACCATCCCACCAAATTCATTAGAAATTTCAGGATGTTGGGCAACAAAATAAAGTGAATGCCAAGGGGGTGAATACTTTTGCAACCAACTGTATAAAATTGCATTCCTATAGTATTTCAAGACACTGTCATGAAATTTAATTATTAGCATCCATAATAGTCAGACACTCCCACAATAGTGCATTTTGTTCCAAGTCAGATGAGGTTTACCATAGAAAGAGACAATTTATGTTCATATGTACAAAGTACATGTAACAAACTATTTTGTGACCTATATCTGTTTGGCCATCAAACTGGGCTGTGCCCTCATGTTGCTCTGCTCTGTAGATGCCATTATCAGAAGATAGTTGCGTTCAATTGCAATCTACAATGTCACAAAGGTTCTACTTGGACTGGAACTGACTTTCTCACTTTTTGCAGTGTTTTTCAACGTCACAGAGCGGCTGGAATGAAAATTAAAGGAGCAAAAGAACTTCAGGAATATTTTAGGATTGAGATGCTAAACTATAAACTGACATTTTTATTAAGGAAGAATCAAAACTGAGAGAATGTGTGCGGCAGTTCATGCTGCAAATTAGGAAAATGTCACATGCATGAATGGCATTTTTTTTTTAAATATGTGCTCCTTGAGATAAAGGTTAACAAAAACAAGGGTTGCCATAATATTGTCCACAATACAGGCTGGATTCTGTTGGGGAAAAACTCCAGAGCCTCTATCAGCTTGTCAAATCAGGTGTGAATATCCCTCTCGAGCCAATTTAAAAACCCACCCACGTTTGAATGATCTCTGTGATCCTTCCGGTAACAATTCTCTGAGATAACAGTGAAATTTCCATATGAACTCTGAATATAAAAAACAGACACCACTTAGACACGAGACATAATTTAAATTCTGCTCACAAAAAGGATATGCTTTATAGACCAAACATCCAAACCTATGAAAATCAGTGAATTACTACTTCACATAAAACAGGCTGTTTTTCATACACAAGACATTTAACGTTTATTAAGACTGTAACAATAGGAACTGAACCGAAGGTGCCTTTTCTGCTTTACACCATGAGAGCAGGCTCTGTAAAGGTCTGACCCACTGTCCTAGTTCCATTCTTTAGAATTCCCTCTGTGGAAACAAAGTCCAAGTTCATTACTGGGGTTTTTGGGACACTCATATGAGAGTTCTCAGGCTGAGGCTCTAAGAAGGCCACCCTTTTTCCATTTGACCTCCTCTGTCCTGTCTCTACCTCCTCAGGGTCTGAACAGAGAATAATGGCTCGTCCGCCACACCCTCTGGAACCACCCCTGTTTCCTCGACACTGACAGGGTGTGAGGTAGAGATAAAGCAGAACCAGCACGATGCTGACCACACAGGAAGCGAGGGTGGTAAATGCAGTGTTAAAATGTTCCCCGTTGCTTCGGTGAGCCAAATCAGTAGTGGAGGAAGCACTCATGTTTCCAACCAACACTCTGACTTCTGGAGATTCACTGGGTTTGTAGTAATGCCCACGGGACACCACACACCCGTATGTACCAGAATCTTCCATTACTGCTTCTTGGATTTCAAGGGTACCATTGGGAAGAACTGACAGATGGGCACTCGAATCACTATCTGATGAATTCATTATCATTCTGGGGGTAACCCAGAATACCACCAATCCCTCCTGAACAGGCAAAGTCAAACCTGGACACGGCACTCTTAACCCTTCACCAGGGTCTACTTGAAAGTTCTGTGCCTCAAAGTTTGTCACGCCTTCATGTGTACAATTAACTTCGGAATTGTCTCTACATGGATATTCACCTCTGAAGTCCACAAGAGGGTGATACTGTTTCCACATCCAATATTCCAGCAAGGCAAGCAATGCACAGTCACAGAGCAAAGGGTTTCCCTGTAAATAAACACTTGCTCGATGGGTGACAGACAACAGGCTCTGGACAGGCACCTTGGTTAGCCTATTGTATGTCAAGTCCAGGAAGGTCAGGTTATGAGGTGCTCTGGGTTCCTCATAAAGCCCCAGGGGGAAAGCAGTCAGTCTGTTGGCAGAGAGGTAGAGCCTCTGCAGATTGTTGAGCTCTCTAAAGGTTCCAGGGTTTATATCGCCAATCTGGTTTCCAATCAGTAGCAGCTCTTTCAGTTCTTTCAACCCAGTGAAAATAGATGAATTTAGCACTGTCAGTTGGTTGGATGAGAGGTCCAGATGGAGGAGATGTGGAGTCACAGTGAAGGCAGCCACCTCGATTTGGCTTATTGAGTTCCTACTAAGAACCAGTGTAGTTAGCCGGTGAAACGGCTGCGAAACCCAATCCACACGCAGGGATCTGATGGTGTTGTGGCTCAGGTCCAACCTTGTGGCATAGCTTGGAAGATCAAAGTGCAGCATGGAAAGATTGCGCCCGCTGCAGGAAATGATGTCACTCGCACAAAGACAGTAGGGTGGGCAAGTGGCCACAGTTGGAAGGAAGCCAAGGCAAAGCAGGAGCACCATAGCTGCAGCGGCAGGGTCGCAACAGCTGCCACCAACAGTGGTTTTGCCAAAAAGCTGTGACGCAACTGCGTGCATCCTGGTTCCCCCTCGGGACGGGATCTCAGGTTACGGTCTCACTCAGTTCGCACATGTTAGGTACAAAAAGCTCTGATAACGCACCGGTTTTTTAGGCTGAGGAGAGAAAAGAGAGAAACACAGCTAAATGAATCATTTCACTTTTAGGCTGTTTTATTCCACCAAAGCCTTCAGTTTACTTTGTGAATTAATGTCTTAAAACCAGAACGCTGTGACGCAGGAGAAAGGCATCCAGATAAACATTGATAAAACTCAACGAGCCAAAAACGGCTACGGCACGTGATTCCAAAAATACACTTTAATCCACATTAAATACAGCCCTGATGACTGCTGGCATCACTGTCAACACATAACAACTGTTGGAAACTGCTGGAACAAGTGTAACCTGATCCACATGTGTTTGTGATCCTCCTCTTCAGTTTTCCACCTGAACAGCCACAACACTTTAATGCTATCATTTTAACTATTTTATCTGTATTTTATGAAAACTCTGTGGCAGAACTTGACCTGCTAAACAACAACAAATCATAAAGCCCTTCATTAATAAACTTACATAACACAGTATTTCTAAATATGATAGCTGTTTTGCAAAGCTGTGTTCGTGATAATAATTTCAAAAGACTTGAGTGGAAAAAGTATAAACGAGTAAAGTTTAGTAAATTAGTGATTAGTCAAGATGTTTCAAAACTAGAGTGGCATAAACTGAATTGATTGCTTATGAAGGCTAACGTATTAATAAACTTTATGGTTTCAGCACAAACAGAAGAGGTCACAATGTGCTGAGTGTGGATTTTATCATTATCACTGATTCTGTCGAGAACAAAAAGAACGTATTGTTTCATTTTAATTTCTCCTTCTGATTCACTTTCAAATATGAGTCTGCTTTCACTTTCAGAGAGGACCAGTTTACTTACTGATAACTTCAGCCTGATTAAAGTTAGCAAGAATAAAGTCATTATTAAATATGGAATTTAAAGTTATTATTGATCCACCATGTTATTGAAATTAATCAACCTGTTCTCTCTTATTGCCTTTAATATAAGCCAGAAACAGAGCATTAGTTCACCTTTAGATCCACTGGTTTGCTTGTTCAGATCATCAGTCCTCCCTCAGATCCAGACGCTCTCCCCGGACGCACGACCCTTCATGAATCCTAAAAGCATGGAGGGAGCTCGGCTCTTTCCGTGGATGATCCGCCGCCGCTCTGTGGGGGGAAATGGGGGAAGCCGCGGCTGAAGCGAGCACCTGCAGATCGAGTCGCATATCTGTGTGGGAGGGGTCGTCCTGGGTGGAAACACACACAAACACACACAGCAGCCGACACGATGAGAGTGGACGCTGGTGAGATGGGAAGAGGTGGTAGTCTGAGGAGGAGGAGGAGGAGGAAAGGGAAGGAGAGGTGGAGGGCTACAGGGGAGGGGGCAGCATCAGCACCACAGGCTATAGCTGGATATCATGGGTTTTTTTCTGGGATTTCACTCTTCTCTGTTTGTTTTTATGTTGTTTGTTTTTGGACAACCAAAAAGTTAGTTCACGTTTGAGCAAAGTCACATGGAGGCGTTTCCAAAATTAAATTTGTAAAAAAAATGTCTGCATTCCTGAACAAAAACATATATTAAAAGGATTGTTTGACCATTTTTAGGTCTATATATATATATATATATATATATATATATAGTTAACTAAAAGGGCAGCACGGTGGCGCAACTGGTAGAGCTGCTGCCTCTCAGTGAGCAGGTCCTTGGTTCAAACCCCGGTCCAGGGGCCTTTCTGGGTGGAGTTTGCATGTTCTCTCCGTGCATGCGTGGGTTTTCTCCGGGTGCTCCGGTTTCCTCCCACAGACCAAAAACATGCATGTTAGGCTGATTGGTAACTCTAAATTGTCCCTAGGTGTGAGTGAGAGAGTGAATGGTTGTTTGTCTCGTTTGTCTCTATGTGGCCCTGTGATGGACTTGCGACCCATCCAGGGTGTACCCCGCCCCTCGCACAGTGATTGCTGGACATGGGCACCAGCGACCCCCGTGACCCAAAATGGAATAAGCGGGTAAAGATAATGGATGGATGGATAGTTAACTAAAGCCTTATCAGCGGGGGAGTGGTGGAACAGAGGTTAGAGAAGGTGGGCCTGTGATTGGAAGGTTGCAGGTTTGACTCCCCGAACTGACATCAAAATGTGGGTGGAAAATGTGAAACACCTACACCTGTCTCCACCGTCATTTGCCTCACTCTGGACCCTTGAGCAAGACCCTTAACCCCCACCATCTGCTCGCCTGGGTGCCCTAGATGGCAGCTCTCTGCTCCACACAGAGGGCTGTGGTAGCTCGATGGTCTGTGGTTGCGTCAGGAAGGACATCCAGTATAAAAACAATTGCCACGTCTTTGTGTGCGTTAGTTCACTGTGGCAACTCCTGAAGAAGGAGCAGCTGTGGGGAAAAAAAAAAACACTAAAGCCTTATCAGCCTGGACGTCAAGGGTGTGGTTATAAATGGGCATGTCATTTGATGGGTGTGGTTTTTCTTGCTTGCTCTCGATGGAAGGTAGACACGTCCTCCTCTGCTCCGTCCCTCGTTCCGTCCCTGCTTTGCTCTTTTGGCTTGTGAACCTCTTACAGAGCCTCTTTACCGCATACCTTCCGAATTGTTAACAATGGATTTGATCAGCTGGTCGCTCAACGAAATTAATAAATTTTTCTCAACAGGTAATCAAGGTGAAGGAGAAACAGCTTACGTCAACGGAAACATAATTAGATTGATGATAACTGGATTCTACTTTTTGGATTGGTGGAAATATGGATTGTTGATAAATTCAGAAGCATCAGCAGCTGTTTAAGCTGCCTGGAATGTGGAGAATGTGCCGAGCTTGGCAGCACTAAGGTCGTTTTCACACCAGATAGTCCGGTAGACTCGGTTCGGTTCGGGACCAATATTCATGAGCTTTTGTTTACATTTGAGCTGGTGTGTTTGCATTCACACTGCACTGTGCAGTCGAGTCAACCTGCTGAACCAACCTATTCCCCCGCTCGCCTGAGGGGGCGCTGCACCAAGAACTACTGAAAGAAACGACACAAAAACCTCTGAAGACACGTCTTCTTCTTCTTCTGTAAATAAAAATAAAAACGAAGTGGCATCAAGTTTTAGCAGTTTTAGGAGTTATATTTTGTCATTTTTCAAAAATGGACTCAGCATGAGCAGAAGATGAGACAGAAGACCATGGAGAATATTGTTTTTCCACACAAGGCAGCTGACGGCTCCATATAAGGTCAGAGAAACGCGTGGTTGTTTACCCTGCGGAGCGGGTCCGGTCTGTTTGCATTCACACTGTACTCGAACCGCGCTGGAGTTCGTTTCTATCGGACCGAGACCTAGGTTTTAGCCCTGGCCAGAGTTCGCCTTTTTGTTCCGTGACAGAGTTCGATGGCGTGTTCACACCTCCCTAAACAAACCGGACTTTCTAGGAAAACGAGCTAGAGTTTGATTAAAGCGGACTAAACAGGGCTGGTGTGAATGCACCCTAAGACTATGTGCAATATGTGGTGTTGTATCAAGCTGAGCAGGCTGATCCTAATTAGGACTGTGGGATTTTTTGGCAATGTCCACAAACGGTTGGAAGGAATAAATCTTGGAGAAGTTGTAAACTCAACTTGGTGTAAGTAATCAAATTTGGCTGTATGGAGTCGCCATGAGAAAATATACTAGCAAGACTGTTAAGGCAAACTTGGAAATTTACAAGTTCAGCTTGACCCAAAACAATGTTGATATCTGAATCTGGACCTGGCCTTGGAAGGTGGACTATCTCAATTTCTCCTTGGATGTTATGGAAACAAAGACACAATGTCCTACTCACCCCCTCCCTTCGACATGTGATGGAGCTCAGCCGAGCTGGCTGATAAACAAGCACCTCTTATCAGGACTATGGCTTGGGGGGGGGCGCTCTGGACTGTGCTGTGCTTCGATCTTCCCTCAGACTCAATGCCTCCACTGGCCTCCCTCGCCTCCCCTGGTGCAGCAACCCAGGAGATGCGAAGGCGCCAAGGGCTGCGTCACTCACCTGACAGCCATGCTGGAACCCCCACCCCCTACCCACTCCACACACATACGTATTATGTCTATTTATGTTGCTTTGCTGTGGTAGGTTTTTTTTTTATACCACAAACCGTGCCCGTCATAGACACAGTGAGAGATCTTGGTTTTATACCTCTCTTCTTGTGTTTTCTACTCGTTTTCTTATCTAAGCAATAAGGACAGCACTTCTTAGAAGCTGCAGCCCCCTGTACACTTCCATCCATCTTTGGGATGGCTGTACAGAAAGTAATTTCACTGGATTTAACTGTGCAATGATAATAAATCTGATTCTGATTCTTATAGGTGGGCCACCAACTTTATGGCTCGCAAACTAAAGGAGGTTCTAGGCTCCCAAATAAATAAATTGCCTTACAAAATAATATAAAACCTACTTTTGATTTTGTTCTGACTCTACACTACAAATTTATATTGGTTGTGTTTCATGTTTTATTTGGTTGCTGGGTCCAAAGCCAGTTCCGTTGGTCTAGTAGGGACTGCTGAAGTATATCCCTGCTGACCAGTGGTTCGCTGATTCATCCCTAGAATT